CCTCAAATCATGTGCGGGTAACCGCACCATCAGTCTACCTCATAGGGGGACCACGGCACACCACCTCAAATCATGTGCGGGTAACCGCACCACCAGACTTCCTCAGAGGGAAGCCACGGCACACCACCTCAGATCATGTGCGGGTAACCGCACCATCATACCATCTCAGAGAGAAACCACGGCACACAACCTCGAATCATGTGAGGATGACCGCACCCTCAGCCTACCTCAGAGGGGGACCACGGCACACCACCTCAAATCATGTGCGGGTAACCGCACCATCAGTCTACCTCATAGGGGGACCACGGCACACCACCTCAAATCATGTGCGGGTAACCGCACCACCAGTCTTCCTCAGAGGGAAACCACGGCACACCACCTCAGATCATGTGCGGGTAACCGCACCATCATACCATCTCCAATGACTATGACTACGAAATAGTAACGCTGCGAGATATATTTAGAAAAAGAACGACGCCCCAAAACGAACAGTTTGGCCAAAACAAAGCCGATTATCTGCATTTTTTAGCGATAGGATGACAAATTGGCAGGAAAAAGAACGAAGAAAGGACTGCAGTTGATATGACACTTGAGATCCACTAAGGGAAGTCACGTGTTGAAAGATCACCCGAAGTTTTCGGTTTTGTTCACATCTCATCATTTTCGTATTAATATTGGATTGAAAGAAAATCAATGCAACACTTTAGATGAAGGTCCTATTAGGAGTGGTTGTTTCGAGCTACACATGGGAAAAGTGGCAAAATGTTCGCTTCTTCACAGGTGTATTTAATGGCATGTGCTTGTGGAAAGCAACCAAAAACCGAGCCCTCGATGTAGAATGTTGCGCATTGGTGGGGAACTATATCGGAAACATAACCTGCAAAAGTAAGCCTGTATTAGTAACACATTCGATGAAAATGCTCTAAACAAAGACGCTGCTTCTCTTCAAGTTTTATGTTCCACCAAAGCTGGGAATGGGTTCCGTACTGATGCCTTCGGTCCAGCTGTGTTCTCTAGCCAAGGACCAAGCCAGGTGTCGTTGTTTTTGATGTTATTGATCGATGGCTGACGTTTCAGCGACTTCGCCTTCCTCAGAGCCTGGACGTACTTTATGTTAGAATACTTTTTATTATTCGGTGGAAAAGAAGGTTAAAGTATAAATGAAGATCAAACTTTCAAATAGACGCCATATTGAACAGAAAGGCCACTCACCGTGATGTTACGTGCGTGACTGGCCCACACGTAGTTTACGTGGAGTCGCAACCAAGACACGCCCCGGGGTCAAAATATCATTTTGAAATAGGGCGCCAGGTCACGCGTGATAGTGAGGCATTCGTCCTTCCTATTCATCTTTGGATTTTTGAAATTTATCCAAAACGCCTCAAGAGTTGCGCGTTGATGTTTTTGATTCCTGCGCTAGGATCCGCACATTCACTTCAAAATCATCGCCGTTGTGCTTTTGTGCCCTATGTGTACCCAGAGGGGTGTTTAAACGGGTTTTAGCTTTTCCATCCAGATGTTCTTTTATGCAGACACAAAGCGGTCCACCCGTTTCCCCGATATATTCCTCGCCGCATGCACTACATGAGATCAAGTATATTATACCTAAACTCATGCAATCCCCGTCTCTCCCGTTAGGACAGATCGTACAGTTTTCTGAGCTGCACAAACGATCATAGAGACGGTTTCGAACTAACTGGTGGCGTAGGGTATTGGGTGGGATGTCAACAATCGTTACATAATTTTCAAGACCACTTTTTCTTAAGCACTNAGGATCCGCACATTCACTTCAAAATCATCGCCGTTGTGCTTTTGTGCCCTATGCGTACCTAGAGGGGTGTTTAGACGGATTTTAGCTTTTCCATCCAGATGTTCTTTTATGCAGACACAAAGCGGTCCACCCGTTTCCCCGATATATTCCTCGCCGCATGCACTACATGAGATCAAGTATATTATACCTAAACTCATGCAATCCCCGTCTCTCCCGTTAGGACAGATCGTACAGTTTTCTGAGCTGCACAAACGATCATAGAGACGGTTTCGAACTAACTGGTGGCGTAGGGTATTGGGTGGGATGTCAACAATCGTTACATAATTTTGAAGACCACTTTTTCTTAGGCACTATTTAATGGCGTGACTTACTTAATTTGATATGAAGGAAAGCTTAAAGGGGATCCTACTTTCGTTTGAAATATTATTTTGGTAAACTACCCAATGTTTTCCTCTAACCCGAGTGGCTTCTACTTCGTAGCCATTGGAAATGGCAATTTTTCGTGCCAGGTTTCGCGATTTCTTCCTTTCCTGTTCTCCTGTACACACATGCGCTTGAAGAAAATCTACGGAGAATATCACACTTTCTTTAAAGTCGTCATTGCAAAATTCTGCGCTGTTCTAATGTCGCCCTTGCGTCAAAATTCAGTATGGGATCGTACTAGCGCCTCCTTTGTGCGAGATTTAATTTCCTGAAAGGATGGAGAAAAGGCTGCTAAATTCCAAAACCGAAGTCCCAAAACGGCTATAATCTAGGATTTATCGTGTTTATTTATCGGCTGTTGGAAAGATGCCGTACTTTATAATTTCAACAATGACTACTATTGAATCATTCAGTATCTTCACAGTAGCGCTGTGAACGCTGAGTTTGAAGTTCACCAAGAAAAGTCTGTCTTCAGAAACACTTGAGCATACACGCTGACGCGGAATCACACAAGCCACAGGCAACAGCCAACTCACGTGCGAACATAAAAAGCAATGGAAGCAGGCGCCAAAAAAGCTTTAAAATGAAAAGAAGCAGTTGCAGTCGAAAATGCGGAAGCTGGAAAGCGCAAAGTTTATCGAAATTTCATTAAGGTCAAACTGGTTGCTTACCGACACCTACAAAAGACAGTTACAGCCTCGAAGAAAGGAATGGAAAGGATTATCTACACATACTAGCCGAATATCTTCAACAGCTAAATTTTCCTCCTCTCATATAAAATAAAGAAAAATAGATATGTCGACCTAGCAGTTTTCCCTCCAGAAATCCAACATGCTATTTAGTTTCGAATCGGGCAACGTCAAGTTCGAAGAGTATACAATCTAAGCACATGAAGACCCTTCAGCAAGTCTTCATCACATAAAGGGGCGACCGTTTTAACCTTACTTGTCAAAACGCAAAGTTCCTTTTCAGTGGAAGACTAGAAGATTAGTATTCAGGTTCTAGAAAGGTGAACTCCGCAGTATCGGCAACTGTCGCTCAATGTGGTAGGTGACTGCCGTCTATAAACTCTTCGGCCGACTCGTCCTAACAGCTTTGTCAGAAATCTGAACGAATGGTGACGCTGTGAGCAAGCAAGTTTACGAAAAGAATTTAGTACAAGGGACGTTTTCACCAGATAGCAACAGCCAGTGAAGTACAGAAAAGGTACAAGAGACCGCTTCTTCTCAGTTATATCGTGTTAAGGAAAGTTTTCGACACCGCTGAGATAGAAGCAGTTATGGAATCCTTGGACAGCCCTATAACAATCCCAGGGCGTTTCTACATAGTACGTAAAGATTCTTCAAGAGCTGTGTAAAAAAATTTTGCAACCAAAACATTGCCGCTTTATAATGGTATTAACGTCGACGTCAAAGAAGCGGCTAGGCAAGAAGATGCTATCTCGCCAAAATTATTTATCGCCACCCTCGAAAACCTCATTCGAGCATTGGAATGGGACCACATGGATGTGAAAATCGAAGGCATGTTCAACAAGTACCCCATCATCGCGTTGCTAATTTCATCGTTTTTATAATAACAATCATTAGCCAGACAAAAGGAATGCTTGCCGACTTTGATAAATCTATGGAAAAACGAGGTTCGAATGAATCTTTCGAAAAGGATTTTCGTGGCGAGCGGATAAGTTTCGTATGGTTCATTCACGTTGAAACAAGTAAATATCTTTGAGCCTTGCACCTACACTCGTGTTATAGTAATACAGGTTGCGAAGGCAGCATGATGAGGGACTTAGATCAAGAGTCGAGCAGATGGTAGAGAATGGCTTGGCGAGCTTTCAAGAACAAGGAAAATGTAGTGAAAAGAACAAAGAATACCCGGCACTCTTTCCATCCTTTCTACTCAACAATTCTTCCTGCCTTAGCATGTGCGTCAGAAAATTGGTAGCTGCGTATGCAGGAGGAAAGATCGCTTAGCGTCACAGAACGCCTAAACGCGGTGTTAGGATTATCGCGTATCACTCAAGTTAACGAGCAGATGCATAGTTCCAACATACATCTACAATGGAAAATCAAATACGCCGTTTTCTTCACAGAAAATTTTCGAAGACAAGATGAGCCAGGTGTGCAATGTGCACGAACGAGAACCGATGAACAAGACGCATTAGCGAATTTATTCCTCGGAAAGTCAAGCGCAAAACCGAAAGACCCACCATCGCGATGGTCAGAGTTTTTCGGAAAAGCCTTGGAAGAAGGGTATGAGCTTAACGAGCACGCATAATTGTTTCGCCATTTTATTTTGTTAAAAACTTTAACACTTAAACAGTATTTTTATAAGGCTCGATTTCAACGGTATAACTGGTATTTTTTATCAAGTCGATTCACTAATCATTACCTGAGCTTTAATAAATACAACAACCAGCTGAAGTAAGTGCTGCATTCCGCGTAGTTTCTAAGACAGTGTTAGGAGCACCTTAAAATCGTCATCATTTGCCAGCTAGTGACACTGTTGTTTCGGGTATAGGAGCAACTGCTAGGAGTTGTTCGCTCTTCCGGATTGAAATGTCGGTAGCGTTCTGAATCTGAGAGGAATTTACCATGTAGGGAAGCCCTTTGCTGTATATCGTAGTTCGACATCTTAGTAAACCCAGCCACTACAAGGCGGCATACCATTAGAAGAATCTTAATTGATAAAATATCAGTCTATGGAACATCCATAAATTTTAAATTTTCATCTCTTATAAAAGAGCTCAACTATAAAGAAGGAGTCTCGTTGAAAAACTAGTTGCTATGTTCAAGAATACTGACTCTCCACGTGACCGCACTTGAAAATTTTAAGAGCAACCATCTATACATTAGTATAACAGCCTCGGTTTCAGTGGAAAAATGGACTTATATTGGCTAAAAATTTTGGAAAAGCTACTTTTATTTCATCTCCACGTGAACAATCAATATGTTCCTTAGATTACTAAGTTTACGCGAGGTTATTATCAAAACCTCCCTGCGGTAAAGGTTTTGGAGTCCATACTTTCTTCATAACCGGATATCTTCACATTCAACCCGGTTTCCCACGGCCATTCATTTTCATGCCGTAGGGTTTCGTCATTCCATCGGGTCGCGTTTTCTGGAGTGGAGCGCTAATCCAAAGGAGCAACTGCACTCGGCAGCGTCGTTTTATACAAACAACTATTGACTGAAACAAGTGCAATGGTGCAGAGATCTTTGCAAAACTCCGTACCGCGGGCGTATACGGTGGGGGACGAACGTACTACTACCCTTTCCGTGGGCTGACGTGTTCACCACCACACCATGCGGGTCCTTCGTTTCGCCTGTATCTCAGCTAGCTTTATCGATCAGCGCCATCATCAATCACCCGTCAACAGGAATATTGTGGTTTTGACTACAGCCCCAACTTAGCTAAGTTCGTTGCTGATTTGAGCTCCTCAGATCAATCCCGTTGAAGGATGACTGCTGATGGCAGTGGTCAATAGAACTAGCTGAGAGACAGGCGAAACGAGAGACCCACATGATGTGATGATGAAAGCGTTGCTCCCCGGAAAGGGCATAGCGCGTTCGTTCCCCACCGCAGACTTCTGCGGTCCGGAGTTTTGCAAATATGTCAGCATCATTGTGGTTGTTTCACACATAATACCCTGCCATGAAAAGTTGTAATAGGCAGTAAATAAAAAAGTTAACATTACAACTATTAAGTGGTTGTCCACTGATGGTGGTGCACTATTTTGTTACATACGAGCTGAGACGATATCGACTGCTTTAAGTAGGCTGGTCTTCACAAGAAGAAGATTGCAAATCTCTGTTTGAACGGTCATCGGCGGTGGTGTTCTCCCATTAGCATAATTATTTGTTTTCCAAAACCTTCCAAAACTCTGCTCTTACAGTTCCCAAAATCGACTTTCTATTAGCCTTGGCATTAGATTACAAGTGCGTCGTTTTCTTTCTCAGCAATCGCGAGGTTTTTAAACAGCATACGTTTGATTCCATGCAATAGCACACATACAACACAATCGCAGCTGACGTTTCGGCAGTATCGCCTTCTTCAAAGCCTGGAAGGGCATAGTGAAATGCAATTTACTACCGCTTCAGTATCACATACAGAAAGACGAGAATCTAAATCTGATCAAAAATTTGCAATACAATGACTAGGAAGTACACGGAGAATAGCTCAGCGTTCTCTCTAACACTCGAAAAACCCACCGCTTTTTTACGTGTCTTCCACTGTTGACCATCTGATTACCACTTAGACTCTCATCTTTCTGTATGTGCTATTGAAGCGTTTGACATAGTAAATTGCATATCCCTATACCCTTCCAGGCTCTGAAAAAGACGATACTGCTGAAACGACGGCTACGGTTGTGTTGTATCTGTTCTGACAATTTTCCTATAAATAAATACTCTCGATTGCCGCATATTTATAACATGTTTATGACACACACTGGTTTACAGACGCAAACTGATGGCTTACAACAATGATATTCGCCACGTCTTCTGGCTGTCAGGAAAACAGCTGTGAGTATAACAATGTTTGAACTGGCACACCCCTAATGTTGTTCTGCTCGCAGTTTAAACCTGATTGCTACCTTTCTTGTGGGTTGAAAGTTTGGGAGAGAAGCATCACTTTTTGGCTAGTACATTGGGCGCAATAAATGGCAATCTAGTCACGTTGTGAGTAGACTGGAACAAAGCATTGGTGAAGAAATAACACAATAGAAAAGAAGCGTTGTGCTGAATTTCTGCGAAGCCAGTGCATCGACGGCATGATAAATCTGTAAGACAAGCATATCGTCACACGGTGCATTAAAGAAAAGATAAGTTGGCAAATTAGTGGGAATGAATAAATCTTCATGAAGTTATCATGTTGTTGAAAACCGTTCGTCATGTGCTCACCTGTGGCTGCTTGGTGCAGCAGACGAAAAGTTGTTCGCATGTGTTTAGGCCTGCCACGAAATGTGGTGAAGAGTGCTGAATGGGTTGTGGGACATAACCAAACAAGTACTATCGTATACGAGTTGCCATCAATAGCTCACTACACACTACAAATCATCTCGCCAATGCCGGTGGTTTTTGAATCCGTAGACGGCATATGTCTGTTTTTTCATGATTCCAGCAGCACAGAGATCATATTTCCTAGAGCAAGAAAACCTAAAAATAGACTGACGAAAGACCTCGTGTTTTGGAAACTAGTAATTATGTACGCAGTGGGTTGAAATTCGTTGATCTACAACACAACTGTTCATGGGCTGTGATCCCTGTACTTGAGCCTTTTTTAAATGTTCTGAACTGACGAGATCCACAAGGAGCAACACGCTGTCGACTGTTTTTCCTTGAAAGCGTTAGGACGTGACTTCGAAAATTAAGCCGTGCAGCAATGACGCGACATACTCGTCGCCAATTGCAACTTCCTCTAAGGGTACGGTAAAAATATTGTCAGTTCTACTATTTTGAGTGGTCAAAGCTGTTTCCCACGTTGGATTCCTTCTTCCTCAAGCTGTGCCGTAGTTTAAATCAGTTTCTCAACAAGAACTTTAGAGAGAGCTTGTGTCTAAAACTCAGAGCCTGTACGACTACCTAGAACTAGCAGGGCAGCGAAGTGTGCACAAACTTAAGTAAGACTTACAAACACAATTTCACCTTACAGACGAATTAGCAACAGCTCTGCACCACGAAAGAGCAAGTGGAGAGACATCCCACATATTTTAAATTTTTCGTTGGTAGGCTAACACTAGTTGATAAAAAGTTTTGTTCAATTAACGTCTCAGTGTCTTCGTCTCCCTCATAGCAGATGATCTGAGTCGATGGTCTACAGTCGTTCGTACTCTCGATTTGTCTTTTGTCTTTGTCGTCGTTTCGAGTAGAATTTTCTTTGGTGGAGCACCGTTAGAACGACCCAACTTCTGTGTCAATGCTCTTACAGGACGGTTGTTGGTGATAGTGATTGCCCGTCGATGCTAACTGGCTTTTCAATGGACAATCCATTCTGCAGTAAACGGTAATCAATTTAACGATTAGTTCGATTCATAACAATGCATGCTCATTAATTCTTCATTAAAAGTTTGGAAATCTCAACATGCTCAGATGCGCTTCTCTGTGGAGAGCTGCAATATTTTGAGAGCACCATGAAGCAGTATGCATACCTTCAATTTTGTATCGTCGTTGCATTCGCCGATTGGCCAAAAGTCGTAGGATTTTCGCAATCTTAACCCTTTTATTTACTGCCTTCTTCTTTTTAATGGCAGGGTATGTTATGAAATATAACTCGTATGTAATGCCGAGATATTTGCAAAACTCTGGACCGCAGGTGTATGCGGTGGGGAACGAACACGCGCTGTTGTCCTTACAGGGAGCAGCGCACTTCGCCACCACACCATCCGGGTCCTTCGTTTTGCCTGTCTATATCTCATATCTCAGCATTACATACGAGTTATATTTCACAAGATACCCTGCCATTAAAAAAAAAAGGCAGTAAATAAAAGGGTTAAGCTTGTGATTATAACTAAGCCTCAGCTTATCTAGGTTCAATGCCGATTCGGGTTCCCCAGATCAATCCCGTTGACGGGTGATTGCTGATGGCAAAAAGATCGATAGAAGTAGCTGAGAGACAGGCAAAACGAAGGACCCGGATGGTGTGGTGGTGAAGTGCGCTGCTCCCCGGTAAGGACAAAAGCGCGTGTTCGTTCCCCACCGCATACACCTTCAGTCCGGAGTTTTGCAAATATCTCAGCATTACATACGAGTCGTAGGATTATTCCTCTCTCCGCGCTCTTCGTACTAGCTCTCTCCTCGGTACTCATGGTGAAGTTTTTTCCACTGCCAATCTGACCGCTAGTAACAATGTTTTAGTTAAAGCCTTGAAGAGTATTAAACAGAATTATATAACCAAAAAGAAGACAGCATTAAAGCAACTCTTCTATCGTAGTCTGCATCTTTCTTTTAAATGATGAAAAAAAGCATATTTAATCCCAATTAACTCGCTAGCACTTCGTCACCTAATGAATCCGTTCGATTTCATATGTCCAGAGTCCTCATCGTGTAAAAAATGAGAGACCAAACTTTGAAGAACCTTCCTCCAGTAACGATTATACAATAACCTGAAAAACAGATTGTCGTGGTGTTGGCGAGTCAAGTACGCCATCAAACGCACACATCTTATCTATGGAAAAGATATCAAATATAGATATCGACAAATATCAGCATTCGTTCTTATGCGGTTTTTATACCAAAACTTATGAATTAGAAAAAACGCGCCTGATTTGACTGTATGAA